ATATATACGGTACGATTTTTATTAAACTTTATATGCCTTTGAATAAAACGAGTGTACAAGCCGAGCTTGAACTTCCCCGCTGTTATGGTTTACTTTGATGTTCGTTCACAAGGATCGATGGACGGACTAATGGACGGATGAGCGGATATGGCTATTTTAAAAAAATTGAGTCTATTTCGCCCACTTCCTCCGGTTAAATGCGCTGTGAACTTTATGACTTATTTTGGAAGAGTTTGCCAAAGTATACACATTTACATAATTTTACTATTGATTGACTTTCTATAAGAAAAAAAGCATTGCAGATCTAGCCTTGCCGCAGCGGTATTACATTTGATTTATTTCTGTAAATAAATGTTCTAAATAGAAATAGCACTCGCCTATTTTGGTTCCACTTTCCGCAAATTGGTGTTCTTTGTATGGCAATCATTTAGCTTTTATTAGAAGTTTGTTTGCAAATATCTTTGTATATGGTACTTGTATATAAACGAGCACTCGAGTACAACGAAAGCAAATTGAATAAAAAAGAAATTTGCACAAATTTGAATGGAGAAAAATTTGCAAAAAGTGTAGGATGACGTGATATTGTTCGACACACAAAGATCTCTTCTCGACCGACAACTGTACACAAACACATAAATTTAGATATGCAAGCATATACAAGTATATGCGGGTATACGGCATGCCGAGGGAAGCGGAGTTGAACCTCCTGCTGCAAATTTGGGTGAGCTTTTTTGCTTCGTTGAAGAGTCTTTAAACCTTTGGTTTACTTTATTTTTTGGACATCGCGAGTCAAGGTTGAACATTTGTCATAGTTTACGACCGTCGTCGTCTGGCGGTGGCACTGATTTCTTTCAATTGGCGAAATGTTTGTTTCAACTTGATCGCACGGCGTTCCCATTAAGTGCCATTTGGCAGCTCAAGTTCGCGCAGTCTGTTTAATTTCGAGCTTCCTGTCGCCGGCACTTACCCAAGCCTTTGACTTTTTGTCGGCATCGCAGTCGCAGTCGCTGTGGCGGTCGCACGTGTGAGTGCAGAACACGAGCAATTAAGTGGAAATCACGATGAAATTGTGATAAGAGAATGCAGATCGTTTGATTAAAGTCGACACTTTTTAAATGCAATTAAGCACATTAATTGCAATCGCGGCGCATGTGAGAAACTGAAACTGGTAGATCAGGTCGGCCAGTTAATACTTTTTGGCTAAAAAGGCGAACACAAATTTGAGTCTGCTGCACAATTTATGGCCAACTGACAGATTTTGATAAATGGCTTAAAGCGCCTAAGCGCAGCTTCTTCTCCATTTGCCACGTTTGCCACGTTGGCCACGATCGAAATGGAAAATACGCTGCGCGCGGAGAAAGTTCGTCGGGCAATTTGTCATCAACTAGCCATTTGAAGAAGACATTTGCTTGCCGTTTGCCGTTTGCCGTTGTTAGCCTTATGAACGGCAACAATTTGTTCAAACCACTTATCACGTGCTGTCTAAATGCTCATCGCATACTTGTACATTGAGATGCCGTCCGTCGCCTGCCGACGATCACTGACCATGACCTTGATGCTAACGACCACTCAATGCACTCTTTCTGATCTCTCGAACAATTTGAATGTGCCGCCTCACATCCAGTTGGCATTTAGTCTGCAGAGCAGCTGCCACGCATGCGCACGCATTTATTTTGCATCATCAGCGCACCAAATTGGCACAGCGGGCGAAATTCTCAAATTATTCAAAAACGCTCTGCCTACCAAAGGGTGGCGGTGCCAATGCCAATGCCAATGCCAATGGTGGTGGTGATGGTGATGGTGGTGGTGGTGCGTGTTACTGTTGCTAAGCCGCTGCTTCCACTTCTGCTCTACATAGTTGTATAAAAACAAAAACGTGTTTTCCCAATTCCGAATGTTCGCATGCTTCTCCATTTATGGGTATGAAGAAATACTTGACACTGTTGCCTACACTGTTTAGAAATTTTGTTATATGCAGGAACAATTTTTATTTAAACTCATAAAAAGTATTCACCAATGTTTGACGATAATTTAAACCCTAAACAAATGTACACGTTTCTCATTTAAGCTATATTTGTTCCCTATTTTGAGTGTATCAATCAAAATCTAACAATTATTATGCATTTTCATAATAATATCTTCTCATTTCAAGAGCTTCCACATCTTGTATTCATTTTCAATATTTACGGAAAATTGTCCCCTTTCTGATGGTTAGTTTAGCAAAGATTCTGATTTTGCCGAGTGTAGAATTCATTAAGTAAGCTCTGGAGTGCAAAAGACTAACGCGTTCTTTAATTAGTTGATTATGTCATGATATTTGTTCATTTAATGAACAGCACAAAATTAATCGATCACGTCACTAAATTTCATATTTTGTTCTTGTGCTATCTTAGGTATTTACTTTATTTCATAAGCATTTAAAACAAAAGTCCCCCAAGCTTTGGAGTTGCCATGAAATTAAGAAATATTAACAGATTTTTCTAACAATCATACATTTGATGATAAAAATTTGTACAAAATTGAATTTATTTAATTTTACGATCAATTTACATATATATAAAAATGGAAGTATATACGTATGCATATATATAAATATATTCCCTATAGAATCCGATACCGCTGAAACAGTTTTGATCACATTGTGTGGCAATATTCAAAGTACATAGTCCCCTGGGTAAGCGATCTACCATCGTTTTCTTGCTTATTTCCGCTCATTTTCATTTCCCAAAAAAAAAAGAAAAAACTGTTTAAAATGCCGATAAGCAGAGCATCCACATCGAGAGCCATAGAAACGGAACAAGAATGGGAGTCACGGCTTTGCCAAATGCGCGAAAGGGCATCCACATCTAGAGCCATGGAAATAGAAACAGGAACAAAAACATAAAATTTCAAAATACAAGTACATATACCAACTACTCGTCCATTTCAATGACAATCTAATACTTTTCAAAGTTTGTTTAGCTATTAACCTGTTTACTTTGAAAGTTAAAACAATTACCTTATCTGCAGTTATTCGAACAAGCATTTGTTATTGTTTTACACCAAATATGACAAACTACGTGAAAACAAAATATTTTTTTGGATTCGAAACACTACTTTCTGCTGACGAGTTGTTCACTCGTTCTGCATTTTATATTCGAAAGTAGGCTTTAAATGCGTCTTCCTATGTCTGATATGTCAATAGAGATGCTAATCTTCACAATAGAATGTATGCCACTTATCTTTATGCGTTTGTAGGTATATATATAACTACCTGATCTGATTCCTACTCATGTGCACTTGCCTACAAAAATGGCTGCAACTGATTTTAGCATTTGAGAGACTGTTGAATAATTCAAGTGCGCCTCGTTGCAATTTAAAAATTGTGTCTCTTTCATTGCATGTACGAACATACATACATATCTGCATACACATATAGCTATGTATGTCTGTGTGTTTGTGTGTGTGTGTTAGTTTATATATTGAAATACATACCATATAGAACGAACAGTCGCTCACTAATCCAAGTGGGCGCATTATTTGCAGCTCGCCAAGAGCTTTGCGGTCAAAGCCGTTGCACACTGATCCCAATCCGGATCCCGTGCCCGTGCCCGCAACCCGCACCCGTTCCCTCGGTTGATCAGTGGCATCGCGTCGCGTCGCTTATCAGTTCCACTTAAATTGCATCCACGAGTCAGCCGTCAATCGTTTTGCGTTACGCGAATAATAAATAGTCGGAGACATGTAAACGCACAGCAACAACAACAACAACAAACAGAACACCAACACATATACAAGTACTTACACTCGGAAATTATTTTGCTCGGAATTGAGACTGAATATGTAAAAATAAGTTCTGCTTTTCTGTTAGCTTCATGTATCACTCAAATCCCCGCATTGCAAATGGGCTAAGCGATAGGGAGAGACACCGATTTGTAATCCAATTTCGCAGGAATTATAAGCCCATTTGGCAGGCATTAGAAAACTGTTAAGCTTTTCCAAACAAGTTCATGAAGTTTCAAATGTGCTTCAATTTATTTCATAATTTGAGAAATAAAAATATAATCTTCTTGTATTTTTGCACTGATTTTGCAAAACTTATTATTATCTCACCTGGCTTAGATAACTTTTCAAGCCCCTAAGCTATACTTATAATTAAATAATAGTTAGCAGGGAAGCACTCTAAACGATTCAGCATTAGTGCATCTTTAGCAACTAATTTTAGTTCAAAATAAAATGGCATAAGAAAAATAAAATATTTACATAAACACACAAGTGTTTATTTAACTAAAAACCTTATTTATTTATTTATATAACCTTTTTACAAATTTAAGTATACGGGAAGTGTGTATTGTAGGAGAATTGAAGTATTTAATGCGATGATAAAACTTCATTAAGTGTAAACACTGAAACAATTAACAATTACCTTTAGATTAATTTGTTTAATAAAAAGCTTTTCTTGCACCAATAGCTATTGATCTATTTCGTCGATGAGATAGTGTTTCCAGTTATATGTATGCCTTCAAATACAAGTATATAGTCTTGGCATTGCAACTCATCCACTTATGAGTTTTGGCAATTGATTCACAGGTGCGTCATGTGTTTGTTAGTTGAGTTGCTGATGTCACAACCGACGCAAATAGTGGCACAAGACTCAAGTCTTTTAGACCTTAAAAAGTTATCAATATGAGCCAAGATAACGATTTACTTTATATATACAAGAATACACCCTGGCGATAAGGAAATCTATATGCAAGGAATGATAGCGGAGCTCGATAGGCGGCAGAGAGTACGCAATAAATTGCAGAATGACGTAACATGTGATTTTTGTAAGACATACTATACGTACATACTTGTACATATATGCTCGAACAACACTAGACCAAGCCCGCTTCGTTGCGACTAGTCTGCATTGTATGGCTGGGCCATAAAGATCGTAAGCGTTAGGTAGTCTGATCATTATTAAACCAAGCCGATATTTCCTTACATTACTCATTTGGCTGCTAATTTTTTACTTTCAGAATCGACCACATTTGCGAAAGTCGAATTTTGCGAGGTGATTCAGCAGCGTCCGTTGTCTCGGCTCGGCGGAACTCAAATATAAAATCAACTTGTGTTTGAGGACTATTGGAATCGCTCGAAATGGAGAGCACAGCGATCTACAGCACATTGATGCTGGCATTACTGCTCAGTGCCAGCGTAACGGCCACACCCACACCCACACCCACATCCACGCCTAGTGCCTCACCTGCCTATGAATGTCCCAGCAACTGCACCTGTAATCTAGCCCGCAACACACACAAGCCCCTGCTCCATGCCAAATGCAATAGCACAGAGGGTCTGCGAGCATTACAGGCACCACTTCAGACCACATTGCCGATACATTCCATCGATCTGTCGTATCTGGAACTCACGCGACTCTCTCACGCACTGACCAACCTTCCGAATCTGACCTCAGTGGACCTTTCGCACAACGAGCTGCACGAGATCGGGCATCTGAGCAAGCGCATCAAGAAACTGAATCTTAAACACAATCGTCTAACGTCGTCCAAGCTGGTCAAGTTACCGCAGCATCTGCAGGTCCTAAACCTGCAGCATAATGCCATTACGAATCTGCCGTTGGAGCTGACGCATCTGCACCACTTGATGCAGCTCGAGCTCAGTCACAACTCGATCAACTGCTCCTGCGAGACGCTGGAGGTGCGCAACTGGCTGCAAGAACGCCATGTCTACATGGAACATGCCGTAGTCTGCAGCTATCCGGTGGCGGCGCGCGGCAAGCCTTGGCTCCAGATCAAGCAGTCGGACGTTTGCGCGAAGGAGCGGCGCGGCTGGTACACGCCGGACGTTGATGAAAACGAGCTGATGATGGGCGACCAGCCAGTGGCTGAGTCAGGAGAGCATGAGGCCCAGGACGAGCAGGAACTTGGTAAGGACTTTCTCCCCGTTGACGACAAGGGAGCGGTGAAATCGAGTGAACAGCATGCAGCCAGCGATGTGGAGGGTTCAGGCGATCTCAGTCACACAAATATGGAAATCAACTTAGCCGAGCAGGAGCCCATAGCTACGACGCAATCGCCAGTAACTGAGCTGGAAAATGAGGACGAGGACAACGATGAGGGCTCAGGCAGCGGTGGAGGCACCCTGATCATTCCACACTTGATATCCGACCCAGTGGACGCAGATGACTTCGATCATGACGACACCAACAACAACGATAACAACGACGATGAGTTCGACAACAATCCGGTTGAGGATCCAGGCTCGCCATCGCCAAACATTTTCCAGCACATGGGCATTTTTGAGGGCGCCAAGGATACGGAGCCGAAACCTGTCAGCGAAGAGCCCATCGTGCCCATCGTACACAAACAGTTAGACACTGGCGCGCCAACGGATGTGATCACAGACGGCCCACTCGATGTGAACAGCAACGAGTCGGAGGACATATTGACGGCCAACGTGTCCAGAAAGGACGACACCAATGCTACTTATTTCCTACTCGCCGTCATCGCACTCATTGTGCTTGGCTTGATACTCTTTGTGGCCATCAAACGCTGCAAATACAACAACAGCCAAGCAGCCCGCGACGCGGAGGCCCAGCGCCAAACAGAGCTGCTGGACATGGACAAAAAGAATCTGGGCAAGCCGGTGACGCGCAACGGCCACGAGCACTCACCGCTCATTGCGGAGAAGACGAAACTGGACGAAGCACAAATCGTCAAGAAGCCCTACAACGGCAGCGATGCGAAGGACGGTGCTGGACAGCAGCCGCTCCTGAATGGCAATGGATCAGCAAATGGTGGTGCCAAGGATGTGCCGACCATTAACGAGCCGGCCGGCGAGTCCGCAGCACACGAATACTATCCGATCACGCCTCGCTACCCGACTCCACAGTCTCCACGTGCCTCCAAGTATGCGCAGAACCCACAGAGCGGCGAGCAGAACAACAATGAGCCCGAAGACGCCTACCTGCCCTCGTCGCCAAAGTCTGGCCGATACTCGCCGGTGTACTCGCCCGAAACTGGTCGCGTTAAGATCAAGCTGACAGAGACACCCAAGCCGAAGACCCCCATGCTGGTCACGCGCAGCAAATCAAATGCCGGTGACATTATTACAACTCCCGTGCGGAATGGTGACACCTATCTAGTCACAGATCCAACACATCCTGCGGTGCATCAGCCTGTCGGCCAGCTCAGCCACTAAGCCCAACTCTCCGCGATCGATCAGGAGATCGGTCCACCCATATACAAACAACGTGCCAACAAGAAGAGCAACAACAACAAAAAATCGTACTTTGCTAACAAATCGAGACACTGCACTACTAAAAACAAAAATAAAATAAATAGCAGCCGTTGAGCTGCATTAACCATCTAGGTATTTGTGATAGGCTTCAGGCGACTCCAAAACACTTTTTACATTGACAAGTGAGAGGAAATACCCATTCAATCGATGATTTCAGCACGACGACCAACCATAATAAACATGGAATACAATTATGTAATATGTGAAAAGGAAAATAAAACTATTCTGTTTTAAGCTCAGCACATAAGCATATTATGACGAGAAACTAGCTCTAAGTAAATTAATTATGTCTAAGCATAAATCTAGTTTAATACCAAAGTTAAAAAATATCGCTTTAATATTTAATGTGTATTACTTCGAACTTCGCAAACAATATGTGGGAATAAAAACTACTCCTACACAGCAGACATTCATATCGTTTCCACAGGCTCTGCAGGATATATAGTATGTATACATATCTGCATATATGTATGTATGTACATATATACACAATTTCGCGAGTATAAAATATGTATCTGTATGCACACAAAGTTCACACACATGCACACACACATATATATAGAAATAAATGTGTATATTTTTACTTTGGAAACTACTTAAGCTGCCCTTTCTTGTGAAATTAGATATTTGTTTTTACATTGAAAACTAAGCTATCAATAAAAAACCCATCGTAAAATCTGAAAAAACCTCTGATTCATTTCGAAGCTAAGCTCAAATATTTTACAAATATTGTTTTGCTCTTTTTCAGTTATTTTATGACTTTTTACGTTTTTGCTACAGAATAAATATATGTATATAATAATATGTATAATATCATAAATAAATGGAAGAATACGTGAAAAATGCAAATTTAAAGGTGCGCCATCTAGGTGTAAATTCGAGAAAGTTAGTGTTGTTTTATTTGATTTATCCACCATATGGGGAATTGGCTTTTATTTCTGTGCTTCTTTTGGCTCGTGTGAACGCCAATTTTGAAACAAAATTGTACGTATTTCGCAAATAAAATGCAAAAATGCAAATAATTATAGTAAAATAATAATGAAAAGAAAAATATAAAACAATACACCCAACATTTTTAAGATTTATTAAAAGTGACATTGCCGCCATCTAGGTGGCATCTCATGAAGCTATATTTTTCTAACACATGGTCAGTCTCTTTTCCCACATGGTGAATAGCGCGAAAATATGCTATAATTTTCTTCTTTATTAAAATATGACCATTATTATGGACTTTGAACAATTTTATTAGAATCTGTCCCAAAATTTCAACGAATGCGTACAATTTTCAATACGAATGAACACAGTTTTCAATGAAAAGCGTTTATTAAAATAAAATACAATTTATTGTACCTAGAAAACTAGAGAGAAAGTTTTAGTAGAACAAGCAGGACAATGTAATATCCTGTACCCCCCCCAAAAAAAAAACATATACAACTGTGTAGTATAATGTTTTAAAATATAAATAAATTATTAAATTGAAATGCAATATTAATACAATTTAGCTGCCATAGTTATACTTTTTGTTTTTTTGATTACAATAAGCTTACAGGGTTTCTGAACAAAGTCCTGAACATATGTGGTCGGTTTTCCTTTTTTAGGATCCAGTACACACCATAATCATTTTCTTATTTGGTTTTAATGCATACAAAATGAATACAAAACAATATAGCTTAAAGGTTATTAGTCAAAGTATAGGTATAGATCCAACCTGTGCAAGTTTTACCTACTCTGTTAGTTTCTGGAAACAGCAACTCTATGTACAAATACAATAAAGGAATAGTTGTAAAAACCCAAGTGTACTCAGATATTTTCTGAGCCATTTTAAGCCGGTGTTTTGAAGTAGTAGGTATTAGACATGCAAATTATTTGTACACAAATTTATAGAATTTCACAAGTGAGTTATAAATATTATGTTACTTCATTCAAAATTTGTCCTAATTCTGCTAAAACTTTTCTGGACTTTACTTATTAAAGCTAACTTTAAAAATAAGACAGATTTGTGTGCAAATGATTTGCTTGTCTGACCATAGCTTTGGTCTAGCATACTTACAATATAAACTTTAGTTGTTTCGACGCCTAAACATAAATTTACATAAAACTTAACTAATACAGTTTTTGACTTAAAATAATGTCTCTCGCATGGGCTGTCGTGCTTGGATGCTTCGCTCATCATCGCTGGAAGAAACGCTGCCATCGACAGCAGCGTTGAAATTTCCACTGGCACGACGGCTGGCAGAATTCTTGCGCTTCTTTCGTTTGCCCCGCTCCAGACTTTGTTCCGGATCCGAAGTGGTGGCAGTTGATCTGCTATCGTCCGGAAGCGAAGTGAGTTCTGGTTCGACGAGCTCTTGGAAATCGCTGGCAATGGTTGATGAGGAGACAGCCTTTTGTGTGGGACTGTAGTAGTCCTCGATAGCTGGCTCCAATACACCCGTCAGCTTCTGCTCAAGGGCATAGACCTGGGCCTGCACATGGACCACCGGTGGCAACTTTGGTTTTCGCTTTGCGAAGGGACTGCCCTGTTTGCTGCTCAGATCATCCTCGGGATCTGTGAGGAACTCAACGCTGTTTCCAATCAGGTTGATTCTCTTGAACGGAGGTATTTCGGCAATTTTGGGCTTTCGCTTCGTGTAGGGACTGTTTTCGTAGCTCTGGAAATTGCCTATCTGCTCCGCACTCTGCAAATTTTGCGTCTTGAGGTGCGCTGCCGGAAACCTTGAGTCCTCGATGCTGAACCGTCGACTACCCGACTGACTGTATTCCATGTAACCAGTGCGTCGGAAGGGCGCATATTGGGCTGTGCGCTCCTTGTCGCGATTCGAAAGCATTTCCACGCTGCGGAACCTCTGCCTGGAGTCCAGCTGTAGTTCATCCTCCCCGGCGGACTGTTCGCCGTCTTGCTGCGTCTGTGACCGACGCAATTGCTTGCGCGATCGCCCTGTGCCAGTCAAATCGCCCATTGACTTTACAGGACGCACCAGCTTTGGCATCCGTAGGGCGTCCTCGTAGGAGGGCAGGTTAGTCTCTTGTGCTATAAGCGTACGGACCGGAGGTCTCTCCTCTTGCAGCATGCGCTCGTTAATGTCTCGTCTGTAAAGCGATGGATATGGGAGTGAGATATGTTTCTTCATATATTTTTAAGACTTACATGCGCTGTAACTCGTCACGATTCTCTGCGTACTCCCGCCTATCATGGCGCACCTTGTGTTTTCGCACGGCTTTTCGCAAGCAGGAGTAGATTAGAATAATTGCGCCAATCACAATAATGCCAATGAGGATATTGGACCAAACCTCTTCGGCATGGCTACTGCGCACATTTGCCATCCAGACACCCATGCATGCGTTTTCCCAGAGCTTGCCATAATTATTTGCTGGCGAGCCACAACGCAGATGGTTCCGATCCCGAACCTGAAATGTGTGAACATCTTTTGTTTATATATGTATGTGGGCAATAAAACTTATCACTTTATACTTACCCTGGCTGGTTTGGTGGTCAGGTAATCATAGAATTCGATAAAGTGCTGATCGCGGCAGCCACAAATCCAGGGATTGTCGCCAAGCCAAATTTGGTCGAGAAATTTGTTCTCGCGAAAATGTGACGGCGGTATGGCATTCGTTAGGCGATTCCCATTCAGACGCAGCGTAGACAGTTCTGGAAACTCCTTAAACGTGGTATTACGCACTGTGGATAGCCTGAAAATGAGAAATAGATTTGAATTCAAGATCAGTAAGGGAGAGATGACGGCTGTTGGGACAGTTGGTTCGTACCTGCAATTGCTTAAATCCAAAGAGCGCAAAGTTTCCGAGTGCATTAGACTGGGCACATCACCGATTAGGTTGTGGGACAGATCCAAGTGCTGGATGGCTGATAGACCCGAGAAGGCCATGCTGTCGATGGCTGTTATTTCACACCAACTCATATTGATGAAGCGCACCGAGTTGGAAACGATTTTTGTTAGCTTCTGAATGACGTTGTGACTCAGATTAAGATCCAAGAGGACGTCGTTGCTGGAAATGACATTGCGGTCTAGTCTTGCGATTTCGTTGTAGGCCAGATTCAATTGCTTAAGGCGCTTCAAACCATTAAAGGCACCGGCCCCAATTAGACGCACCATGTTCTCGGACAAGTCCAAGAACTCCAGCTGGGTGTTGTTCTCGAATGTGCGACTATCTACGGATCGCAGCAAATTGCCGCGCAACCGCACATTCGTCAAGGCGGGCAGACCTCTCAAATCGATGTCATCCAGATTGGAGTAGGATGCATCGAGCTGTCGAAGCGAGTATGCAATGATTAGATCTTCGTCTCTGCTGCCAAACTGCAGCTGCGAGTTGTAGGAGAGATAAAGCTGCTCCAAGCTGGGCAGGGCCGCAATAAACATCGAGTTGACCCGCTGCAAGCTGCAGTTGCTTAGGTCCAACAGCCGAAGGCTATCCGAATGCAGCGTCGAGATTTGTGTCAGCTTGTTGTTGCTCAGGATTAGACGCTCCAGATTTGGCAGATGGCTGTTCAGATGATCGCCACCAACGACACTTATGCCGCAGCTGGAGAGATCCAAATGCGTCAAGGACTGACTGCTGAGCTGCTGGCTGGCGTCTTCATTGATAAAACTATCCAGACGATTGCCGCTAAGGTTCAAGTGCTTCAAATTGGTGGCATACCAAAACGTCTCGCTGGGATTTAGTTGAGACCAGTTCACGATTGAGTTATTAGCGAGCAGCAATGTGCGCAGCGATGTAAATCCAATCAACGCGCCAGCATCCAATTGAGAAATCCTATTATTGGACAAATCCAAATACATCAGCGATTCGATGTCTGCATACTGCTTGGGGAACTCGCGAAACAGATTCCCCGACAGATCCAAATGTTCCACCGGCACATTCTCAAGCGAAGGATAAACGCTCAGGCCTCGGTCAGAGCAATTCACCTCCAAACTGTCCAGCACCCAGGCACACCTGCATGCTGCTGGGCAGTCCAAGCCTTGAGCCCCGATTGCCAGCCACGTTAGCAGCACAGATAGCTGGGCGAACGAAAGACGCAGAAACATGGCCTGTGAACAAAAAAAAGAAGAGAACATATATATTCGATGAGTAACCATTGTTATTATTGTTCTGCGTATTTTAACTTATTGCGTACTTCCTGCTACCTTTACTGGTCACTGCTGTTTGTCGTCGATTTGCGTTTCGTATCGCGCCCTATCGGAACTATCAATGTCTTTATTCGTCGCTATTGCATGGCTTTCTCGTTGGTTCCATTAATAAATGTTGCCAGCAACCTGTCATCAAGTGGAGTTCCTACATGACCTCATGAATGACTTAGATTGTGTATCAAAAAAAAAAAAAAAATTATGGGCTCTATTCACCTGTTTTTTATGTGGAAAGCAAGCTGAGAGAGAAGGAGATAGCGTTTGAAGTGCAATGCGAACGCGTTGTTACTTATCTTATCACTTCGATTCGCAGCTAAATGTATTCATACTATATACTTTTGTATATATGTATGCACTAATTGTGTTTTTCACGTTCGCATTCACACTTAATTTGTGGTAGAAATTGCACAATTTATGAAATTTTAATCGCTAATTTATCATTTTCCAACGCGGTTGCCACGCCCTAAAGAAAATGTCTACATTTTACAACTCCCCCACATAGTTGAATACAAATTTTCTGCTGTAACACAATTTCCGCGCAACGTCTGAGAAAAGACTGCTGGGCCATGAAATAATTCACTTGCACCAGTTAGAGTAACGGCTTTCCAATGCTGATAAGATAAGCCATTGATAAGCCCAGCATAGTGTTGAACAACAAATCGCTGTGGAATCGCTGAAAGCCGTGGGCTGTGTTGCACAGCTCCCTAGTTAAAATTGAGAAAACTTGCATTTATTTTTACCAATTTATTTCCACAGCTTTGTTGCCGCAATTCGGTCACGCCTTCTCAATTACAAGCGTTACATTGTCCACAATATGAGAGAGTACCAATACTCTGGTACTACATATTTCATATTCCCTATTCCCTACTTTAATACTGCGTGCTATACACACCACACACAATTTTCAAAATAACACTTTCAAAAATACATTTTGTAATCAAATTGTTATAAAGGAAAGAAACCATTGTTTTAAGTGATAGTTAATTAAGCATCAAGGCCGAAAAGGATTGTAATCAGAGGTCTATCTGCGTATGAGAAGAGAAAAGTAATCTTGATCTGCAATGAACAGAGCGACCTTAAAAAGCTCAGGTATCTCCAGTCCCCGTTAGTCAATTTGTAAAAGGCAGTATTTTTTAAATACTATTTTACCTTTTATTAAAAGACTTACTTAAAAATGAAAGGTCCGAACTTTGTGGAACTTTTCGAACTTTTATAATAAACTGTTTCTTGTTAATATGAAACGTGTGTCATTTGGAAAATGTAGCAGCTGTGTGAAAAGTACAGTCTGCCGAACATGCCTGTAAGATAACAAATATAATTTTGGAATAAAAGCAGTTAGAAATTGGCATTAAAAACAATTGCGTGTTCTTGGGGGTATTTTTGCTTATCATTTTCCGTCGATTTTTCTTTATCTAGCCTCTGTTTGCTTTTGATGTCAACACAGCGATTATGAGTAGGAAAAAACATTACAAGCGAGGTAGGAGCTTTTAATAGCTATGCTTTTGTACTCTATTCGATTTTTATGCTGCATGTCAACTGAATCAGTATTCCAAATAAATAAACGTCTAAAAACCAACGATGTTGTATGGCTGCAGTCGAAATTGCTGCAGCAACTTTTCGATTGACTTGTAAGTCATGTGGAAATGGCAGGATACGAAATACAAAAAAAAAAAAAAAAGAATGAATGCACTGGCTGATAGGGCATTAAAATTACCCAGACCTCGACCCAGTCGGGGAGACAGCGAGGCTGCGTGACGGTTGCCAGACACCTCTAACCGGATTTATTGTAATGAAGCGTGCGGAAAACAGAAACGACGGTCGCATTCAGCTCAGACAGCGCGATAAAGATGCAGTGCCAAACAAAACGACCTCAACTCAGGAGCGTTGACAGCCACATACTTTTAAGGAGAGGAGAGGGGAGGAGAGGAGAGGAGAGAGGAGGAAGCAAGGTGGCACGGTGACAGCAGGAGGAGAGTGGGAAACCAAATGATTTTAAATTAGTGGAGTGGTTAGAAAAATAAATAAGTTGACAAAAATAGCGAGCTCGTCGCAAAATCAGCTGAACTGAATGACTGACTCACTGATAAGCAGCAACAACAACAACAGCAACAACAATGAAAAAGCCCCCTTCACCTCCGTGCAGGCGAGCGAGCATTATGTTGCCCAGGCAGCAGTCCGGCCCTCTGGATAACTGCACAGCTGCACAGATAATGAGCAGAAAGCGTTTAAAATGCAAAACCAACGCGGACTATCCACAGTGGGGTGGCGCCTCCCATTTATGTGGCACAATTCAAAAATACAATTGAGCTACTTAATCGCTTTACGCGTGTCAGGGTTCCAGTAATAGGTTTTCAAAGTGTTTTTCAACTTTTTTACATCAACTTCAGTTTTATATAATTATTCGCAAACAAAAACATTATGCGATAGCCAGGAAATTTCAATTCGAGCTCACAATTTTGCTTGCTATTTTTTAATTCTCTTAAGCTGCGGCAAATATTGATAAAGAACAAAATTATATTATATTATGCCAGAAACTGTCTAGGATTATCCAAAGCCTAAGAACTTTAGGGTTGGTTATACAACTTATGAAAGCTATGATAGTAATGGTGATTAAGCAGTAAAAAATATTTTTTACAATATAAGTAAACACATTACAAATTAATAGTAATAAGTTAAGAAAAATGAAATTTGGATATCAGAGTAAGCATAATCCAGAATAGATAGCCTTATAAAAATCACAGAAGTGATATCTGATAACATAAGAATTATAACACTTATTTTGTTAAGAGACTCCACGAGTCTTTTTCAATCAGATTCATGGAAAATTCGACCCAAAGATGGGCAAAATGACTGGAAATTTGTAAGCTGAAAACAAAGCAATAAAAATAACTGCATTTTCATAAACGTGAGAACAAAGTGTGTGTACAAATCAACGACTCAACCCACTGTGCATCGTTTTTTACCAATACATTGTATTCCACAAATCGCCTTCTTGTCATTTTAATGAAGCGCAGCAGCTTTTGTGGCCGATACGCGCCCTCTGACAGGATAATTAGCAGGCACTGCCATGCAAAGTCAGCGACAGCGACAACGCCTTGACGTTGGGAATTTGCACAGTTGAAATCACAAGTTAATGCCTAGTCCTTGGTCCTTGTCAGCTGGGTCGTTTGTGTGCTTTTGTTAATGGATTGATTTTGATTTCGACTTTGAATTTTGCTCTCTCTTGTCTAATCTGGGCGACTCGATTTTAAGCGTTTTTCCAGCGTTTTCTTCATTCTTTTCTGTCTTGGGCATTTGCGCGGTGATTTTTAATAAGAAAAGAAGTGCTTTTTATTTACTTTTGGGTTTTTACTGCCCCACTTAGTGCAGCCAAAAACTTTGCCATACCGAATGACAGCTGCGGTGCACACAGATAAGCGGCCATCCGCAAAAGGCAAGAAGCTGTGACGTGAAGCGCCACTGATAAAGCGAAATGTGGCAGGTGGGCGTGTCCGCCCGACGGAAGTTCGAAGTGCTTCGCTGGACATTGTCAGCCAGAAAGAAAACGATGAGTCCCAACTGACAGCTTAGTGGCGAGCTCTTTAGCACTGAAAATTGTGATGCTGTCCTTACCATCACCCTTAACTACCCACACACCCATCCACACACATACTCGTACATTCGAGTGTCTTGTGCCGATGTCATAAAGATATCACAGAGACCACATTATGGGCCTTCTAATCGCAGTCAATCGTCATCATACACGTTTTCTTTTACACAGCTTTGATTATTTTTATGCCTTAGCGCCTGCGAGCGTGCTACAAATTGAGTTTTTATTGTCTGTGGCAAGGACGAAAAAAATATAATAATAAGACGAAAACAATTTGCTTCTATCTGCATGGTGATACGTTAAAAATGACACATAGGCCCACACCCATTTGCATATTTAATATTTAAGCAGTCGGCAGTTGGCGGAATTATTTAAGGAGATATGCCGAACGACTTTAATTACGAGTCGAGTGCTGTTTGAAAATGGCAAAGGACATTCCCCAGTGTTCCTCCACATTCCCCGCATGTACTTGTATGTAGCGCTCGGCAAATATCTTAAATGGCAATAAATTTCGATTTTGGCCAACTTAAATGCTTTATGAATTATAAGCTTAGCAATGCACCCCTTGCCTCAGCCAGCGACGAAGTCAAAGGACTCTCAAAGGAGTCTCTGCGGAGCGTAACGTGCACCTTAAGCATTTTTAGCGTGCCAGCAAAAGTTTGACAGCCTGGCAAAGATTTGGACACAAACGCCAAGCAGTTGCCAGAAGATAGCAAGCAATTCTTTGGGTTGGGGGCCAAATGCTTTCCAGAGGGTGGGAGTTGGTAGGCGTTGGGGTCGGGGGCATACAGATTTACCAGAGACTGCGCCAGTGGAAGAGGCACACCAAATGGCACTTAAACATTTTTAAGACAAGCGAGCAAGCCGCAAGCCTTTCACCAGCGCCACACAGAGTCATAAATCAATTCGTATTAGTTTTATGAAAAGTATACCTGCGGCGTGCACGCACACACACACACACACACAGTCACACACACACTCAGAGTCAGAAAGAGAGAGTGGGAGTGGGAGTGGCGGTTTAATGAGCAAATCTTTTTTGGCAGAAAGCTACCCCTTCTGCTCCGCTATCAGCACAAATTTGCGGCAAGCATTTCCAATTAAGTGCAAAGCAAAAGACTCAGCATAATTCATGCCTTGAGCTCAGCCAGGATGCGAACAGGACACATGCATATTCATGGCCGAGTGCAAGGTGTGCCTCAAGAAAGAGAGAGCATTTACATAAATCTTTTCAAAACATTAAAATATTTCTTGGCTCTACTCGTTGGCGTCCAGCGTTCAGTCGAAGTTTTGAATTATCGCCTGACAATGGGATTATCATTTTTACATTTGCTGCACGGCAGGACAGGACAACGGCCATGGTGTAAGCCTAAGTCGGTCGCTTCTTTTTTTTACTTCTTGGCATTGTGCGCGCTTAGCTCCCCTGGGGGTAATTCGCTGCTGCCATAATTATCATCGTAAATTATATGGAACAGGAAAAAGTGAAAGTTTTAGCAGCGCTCGTGCTCGTGGATTTTATGAAAATGAATTGAGTTGGAATGAAATGTGAATTTACAATTGATTTAAATAGTCGCGCCTTGCTCCAATGCTCCACAACGCCTGCCTGCCTGCCTTCCAGTTAGCCAGCCAGCCAAACAGCCAGCAAGCTAGCCAGCCTGCTGACTCGCTAGCAACGGTAAATCAAAGTGGCGGCAAATCTTCTGCCACCGCCTGAGCATGGAGCAAACGTTTGGTAATAATCTGCGCTGCCGAGTGTCATAAATAATAATTAAACAACTCGCGTTGTTAAGTCTTTTTATTACGGCGAAGGCGTAGCCAAGACAAGCGACAGTCGACTGTCGGCAGGATGTGGAGGAGTGGTGGGGAGGGGTGTGGCTGACAGCGGGAGTGTGCAGGATAAGGTGCCGCGACGGGCCAAAACTAGCAAAACGGGAAGGCTTAGAGTTT